AAAACACAACGCGTCGGATAGGCATAAGAGATGCTTAAGATTGAAAAGTAACAAGTACACAATTGTCAAGGAATTTACTGAAAGTACTTAGTTTACAGTCCGATTCTAGTAAATCAGTTTCAGCACAGTTGGGTGCTAAAACGACTACTGCAGTTTATTTATTTGTTTGTTTGTTTTTTTTTTCATTCCGCGGAAAGTTTTATTGCTGGAAATAAAAATAATGAAACTTCAAGTCACGTAGCATTTTTTTTCTAATTATGTTCCCTCTGAAAATTTGCCAAACATATAAAATAATAAAATTGTAGTCATTTTATGCCTCAAGCATAAATTCCCCATACACAAACTCGACATAAAACTATACAGTCGCCTACAATAAACCTTAATAACTCGGAGAAGCGGGAAAAATCTAAAACTAGGTTTCTTTTGATAATATTATTATCTGATTGCAACCCGATCCCATCGCCAACGAGGTAATAAATCCTTAATGTTTTCACCGACCACCGAATGAAAATAATTTAAGATTTCTTTTGCACACAAACGAAAAGCTAAAACTTCGTCGTTAAAATGACCAAGAAGGCTTTGATACTTTAACAATATTTTTATGACCGTTATTATATAAAGTGAAAAAATTAACGTTTATACTATCGACAATTAATAATTTTATAAACAATAAAACTGTAAACAAAATTGATACTTATCTGCTGAACTGCAATGATATCAGATTATGCCGTAACAATAATATAGTGTGCGCTGTTATTTAATTGCACGAGAAAAAGTTTAGACCAAAACAATATAACTGTTCTATCCCATATTACATTTTCTTACTATAATATTTGCTATTTGATGTGTATTTTGAATAAGACGTATAACTCATTACTAAATTATGAGTAATTATTTCTTATCATAAGCTTTCGTTATAATTTCAAAGTTTATTAATAAGGGAAATTCACGAGCGCCATAAGCAAACTGCTTTGAAGTATTCAAGAACGTAATTGGATACGTCATTTAAGGCTGAAAACTTTAAATTCGTTTAATAAATCCGCGACCCAGTCAAATACATAATACTTATAGCACCGTTGTTAATGACACTCCGAAAATATATTTTAACCGTGCTCTTCGACATGAAATGTAAATCATTTTAGTCTGTAGTTCATATTTTATTCAAACAATATTTGTTCATTATTATCTTATTGTGCTGGTTTGTGCTCGAGTTTCATCGTTTGTGCTGCAAACCCTAATGAGCTAGAACGGATCTTTAGTGGGGGTGCCAGCGAAATGGCTGCCCCCCACCTCCAAATTTTCAAATTTAAATTATGCCATTCGTTTGTGCTACGTTTGTGCTTGATTGTGCTCGAGTTTCATCGTTTGTGCTGCAACCCCTAATTAACTACAGGGTATCATTAGTGGGAGGGGGTGGTATGGCGCCATAATGCAGCCCCGATTCAAAATATTGGATCTCCAAATGAGCCAATCTTTAGTAGTTTGCTACTGATATCCTGTACCACTTTTTCGACGTCAGTACTCTACTACTTCCGGAGTTATCCTTATAAATTTAATTAGGGGGTTGTAAAGACGTGCCGGCACCCCCCATATTGAATTGTTTGGTCCAAATCAGTCCCATTGGTCAAACTAAGTAAGTGCTTATTTGTACTCTTTGTCCCATCGTTATTATTATTTACTAGTAAAAAAAGTTAGGTATAAGCCTTTCTTACAAGGTAATGATCTGGAATCCTAAACGAGGACAGGTGGACTACAGCCACAGAGTTTTTATCGGAATTTTATTTTTTTTATAATTTATTATAATTTTTTTATGAGCAAAGAAATAATAACGATGGGACAAAGAGTACAAATAAGCACTAACTTAATCTAAACCAATCTTTAACCAAGTGTTTTACTACATTTTAAGGTCTATTTTGATTTTTGAGTTGTTTAATCAAGCGTATTACGTATTTCCTTGGTTAACTTTTTTAAAAATGTTTCGTTTTGGTTTTTGATTTAACAGTTAGGGATACGAATTATTTCAGTAAAAGGGAAAATGATCCATATACGCCATTTAGTTATTTCTAATAGTTTTGCAAGATAAAAACGTATATTTGAGAATTTTGATTTTCACAATAATTATACGATCACGTAAATTTTATAACTCAAACTCCTGCAGTAAGTTATTTGAACCTAAAAACTACAAGACACCTATGACACTTTTTGATTACTTTTACCAACCAACCTCAAGCAATTTCCGATAAAACTCTGTGGGCTGTAGTCCACCTGTCCTCGTTTTAGGATTCCAGATCATTACCTTGTAAGAAAGGCTTATACCTAACTTTTTTTACTAGTAAATAATAATAACGATGGGACAAAGAGTACAAATAAGCACTTACTTAGTTTGACCAATGGGACTGATTTGGACCAAACAATTCAATATGGGGGGTGCCGGCACGTCTTTACAATCCCCTAATTAAATTTATAAGGATAACTCCGGAAGTAGTAGAGTACTGACGTCGAAAAAGTGGTACAGGATATCAGTAGCAAACTACTAAAGATTGGCTCATTTGGAGATCCAATATTTTGAATCGGGGCTGCATTATGGCGCCATACCACCCCCTCCCACTAATGATACCCTGTAGTTAATTAGGGGTTGCAGCACAAACGATGAAACTCGAGCACAATCCAGCACAAACGTAGCACAAACGAATGGCATAATTTAAATTTGAAAATTTGGAGGTGGGGGGCAGCCATTTCGCTGGCACCCCCACTAAAGATCCGTTCTAGCTCATTAGGGTTTGCAGCACAAACGATGAAACTCGAGCACAAACCAGCACAAACGTAGCACAAACGAATGGTGTAATTTAAATTTTAAAATTGTGAGGTGGGGGTGCAGTCGTTTCGCTGGCTCCCCCAATCATTATCCCTTATAACTCTTTAAGGGTTGCAGCACAAACGATGAAATTCGAGCACAATCCAGCACAAACGTAGCACAAACGATAGCCCTTGGTTTGAATCCGAAATTCTGAGGTGGGGGTGCAGTTTGTGGTTATCTATACTCTTGAATAATTTTGTTTTCTTCGTAACAATATGATATACAATGTAATATGTCATAGTTGAGTAGATTATTGGTAAATTATATATCCTATAAAACTATAAAATATGATTTAATTTCTCTAATTTTTGTATTTACCTTCAAATGGATATTCAGAATTTTAAAATAAAATAAAAATATAACAATTTCAGTTGATTTATATTTTATAAAATGTTATAAATAGTTTGTTGCTTAATAATTTATCTACCCCCATCCCACACCCACAAAAATTAGGTTTAATTTCTACTTTACAATTTTACCCCTCCCCTTCATAACCTAGCACTAATTGCGCTACTACAGAGTTGCACCAATCAAATTAACATAATATAATATATTTTTAGAAAAATTGACTAGTTTGTTCATCATATTAATATGAAAGGGAAGATTCAAGTTTCAATGCATACTAATAAAATATATTTTTGCGGCTCGACACCGTATTGTTATATTATTTAAAATGCATTAGAGATAAAATACTTTGTAGGTACATATTATAAATCAACATCAAAATATCACTGTTATAATATATCATAGGTACATTTCCTTCTTTTTTTTTTTTTTGTAGCAATAAAAAACTATACCTATTCGTGTATGTTCACATTATCTTCACCACAGTACAAAATTTACGGTGCTTTTTGAATGCACCATTTTGTGAATGATATGATTACAGGAAATAATGTATATGATCAAACTATAACTGTCAAGCATAAAATACTGAATAAAGTTTTGATAAGATGTAAGGTTTTACTAAAACATTTTTTGGACTCGTGGTTAAAATGTAAAACATCGGACGAAATAATAAAAGTTGTGTTTCAATTGTATAGAAGTGCTTTCACACCTCCAGAATAATAAAATTAATTTACACAGATAGTACTTTACGTATATTATGTTGCAGTGTTATAATAGAAATACAATTGATATAATAAACTCAGCTAATAAAATGTACCTGGTTTTATATTATACTTCACCTGTTAATACCTAATTATGTTAACATATTTCAGGTAACGTGAAAATCATATTTTGTAAAAATACTTGAAATCGTATTTTGCTATGTAGAAGTGTAGTATAAAAAAATACTTTCTTTTGTCAGTTATGTTGAAAATTATTACCTATACTTATTATACTTCAGAAGAAACCATTTTATAAAAATGATTTGTGATATTGTAAATGTACCTATGTAAAAAATATGTTGAACAGTCACAATGGAATTATTGCAACTATATTAAAAAAAAAATACTCAATACCTAATATCCTAATACGATTTTGTATCGAATAATCTAATCAGCTATAATTATTATTCCCTTTGTATTGGAATATTTATTATACTATACACAACCATTTATACACTAATAAGCAGTGACAGTTATTTATAACAATAAGTGTATAAAATACATAAATAATTAAAAAATATTAAAATCTTTAAATGAACATTTTTGTTTATTTATTTAATTTATTCAAGTTATAGCAAGTAACAATACTTTAATTTGATCATTGTTTCGCATAATACTGTACAAAATGAGTGTACTTTTAAACAACCATATTTTAAAATTAAAACTACTTAGAAAGTATTACGTTGCCTTTAAGTCTTCGGGTCGCGCGTATAATTTGTTTAAGTTTGAATCGCGATTATTAAGTGTAGTAGTCGAATTCGGTTAAAACCTTAATTAAATCTCTGTGCGTACAAAATTCGTATGCTAATTTTATGAGCCATCATACGGCGCACATTATACGGTAAAATATCAAATCAATAACAATAACGTTTCGGTGTTGTGTGTTTAATATATTTTGTTTTCACCGCCGCATATTATTATTTTATCGATCGAGTGTATTTTGTCAACTACAGCTATCGTCGTAATATAACAGTAACAATAATAATAAAAATAATAGTACCTAATGACATAATAATAATAAAATATAATAACGATACCTGATATTCCGTCGTATGTCCACCACTCGTCCCAACTGGCCTGTACGCCTGTAACAATATAATAATACACGAAATCAATAAATTACCGACTAGATATTATTATACCGCAGTACGAGCACGGCGTGAGTATAATAATTATTATAATATTACGTATAATATTTACATTGGTTTAGTAACAATTATTAGACTCCTTACTCGTAAATTTGTTACAATAATAATAATAATACATGTATATTATACACGGTTAAATAGGAATAAGCACCATACACGTCGAGGCGCCCCCCCCCCTCGATGTCAATCCACAATTGTCGTGTGTTGTATTAGTCCCCGTCGGGTAATATGCATGCGTATTGCGTTTGCGTATATGTGAGAGGAATGAGTATAGATACGTATCTGACAGATCAATCGACTTGCCTCGTTGCGTGCTCACGTACTATATTTACCTAATTGTATAATAATATTTGAACTGTGAATATGTTGAAAAATGTATTGTTTTTGACCTATACGGACTACAACTGTGAGAAACTCTCTTTCACTCTGCCCGAGACGCGCCATCTCCATAATAATAACAACAATACTATTATTGTAGAAGGTTTACCTACAGACGGCGTTGTTATTTCTTTCTCTTGTATAGGTTTCTGTTCTTTTCGCTATTTTGACAGATAATAATCGTTTGCGTAGATAATAATAATAATAATAGTAGTAGTATATTACCGACATTCTCTCGACGATAGTATTATAATAGTGTCGGTTGCGGCAGCGGGACAATAATTTCCGCTTACGCTCCGAAAAATCCTTTTAAGTACGGCATGAGAAAATACACCACTCGTCTCCGATTGACTTCCACCGTTATATCATATACGTTCGCGGCGGCGGGCAAAAGGACGAGCGGATATGATATTCGTTCGGCGGCGCCATCGAGTCGGTTTGTGTTGCCAACACCGATTAATCTGCTCCGCGCGACCACCCCTCTCGTCTCGTATATTATACACCATCCCCGGTTTTATTATTGTTGCCGCTTTTCTGCGCGCACACACACACACACATACGTAGTTTTCACCGAGAGATATATTTTAGTTTTTATTTTTTTCCCACCCACCCGCTCGCTATCGTCTCTATCCATTTATACTCTTGTTCGCATCCCCATCACCCTCCGAGGCGCGACCCCTATATAGACGTACATAGCTGGGCCCGCCGTTAGCGTTTCCCTCGTGGGCGCCCGAAAGACTAGACGAAGTCCTGCCGAGTGGCGTCGTCATCGGCCGCAGCAGTGAGTCGGCTTCTCGACAGTGTATATCTTTATAAAAGAAAATTTTTACGGTTCGACCGTTATACCCTCGACCCGCCCACCCACCGACCGACAAACGGACGACATTTATTATCATTTGGTCGAATCGATGCGCAAAATCATAATATTATCATGTACGCGCGTGTTCTATTTGCTTAGCGTAGTGGGGCCCATCGTGCCAAGAGTGGAGAGCATCTTTCGAACCCTGCACATCGCCCACACGGCCATCCCCTTCAAACAGTCGAGGACACAACCCCGTCGTCGCCTGCTCTTGTCAATCGCCCATTTAAAGGCGTAAAACAATAACGAGCACCTATACAAACTAAACACTCGTAAACGATTGCCATTTCGCGTGACGTGATTTGTATGTCTGCACATAATACATCGTTTTTTTCATTACTGTTTATCGTTTGTCCCTACGAAAATAGATGTAGGAGATTCTTTTACAGGCATTTTCTTCAAAAGTTATTACGTTTTTGGAAGTATTTTTTTCAGATGGTCCTATAAAACATAACGAAACAACGTTTTTCAGAAGAAAAAAAATCCGAAATTCTAAGTGCATTTACTATGTTAATATTACACGAATTTGATCAAAAAAAGTGCGATCTGCTGATATTGAACACATATTATTATTACATTATTATAATTTATAATATTGAAACCCTGACGATTCTCAATGATTCTAAGAAACCGACATTCACTAAGCAAATAAAATGCATAAGTATAATGTGCGTCGCAATATAAAAGTCTTAAAAAGATACTGTAACATAGAAAAACGGAATCCATTAGTAAATCACCAGGACACTATTGAAATAAATTGGTAAAAAAAAAAAAAATGAAACACATTAAGAGGGTATTGTACAAAACGGAAATCATCCATATGGAAAAATAATCAAATCGAATATGTGCGAGAAACAAGTTTAAACAAAATCTAGTATGTATAACAGTGACAATATAATAGTACGTATCTATATTATATGAACGCATATCGTACACATGCTTAGGTACAATTTAATATTATGCACTCAATTTGCATTTTTTCATGAAACCCAAGCAGAAAACACCTCAGAAAGCAAAACAAATTAATAAGAGTATTATAGGTACCTATATAATATACTGTACTCGCGGTACTTTGTGACTTGCTCGTTAACAACGGCATAGCGCGTGATTATACGTGGCAACAAAAAACGTAATGCTCACATCGAAGTAATTCCATCAGTAATAATAGCGACATAATACAATAGTAGGTATTATAAATTATTATTAAAACGACGATGGTAATAATACACTTTATATCATTTTAAATGTGGGATAGGTATTCTTTCGGGCGAACGCGACTATACACGTGACTACACGCGACGTCGCACAGTGGTCTGTATTGTAAATTAGCTTGCCAAAACCTATTTTTAAAAGTACGTTTATTGTATTATTTGATATCAAATTATTAAAACTGATAACCTAATTGAACAATATTTCATATTATGAGAAACTGTTATATCTTATGAAGCCAATAAAATTACGATTAGGGAACAATGTCAGTCAACGAGGCCATACCACGCATTATTCTGTCTTTCACGTTTAGCGATCTGTGTGGTGTGCATGTACTTAAGTTATAATTTTTTTTTTTGAAACCTGAAGTATGGACATTTTTACAGAAGGTAAGTGTATTAATAATATTATTTTTATGTTTTTTATGATGTAGTTGATACAACGATGTTTTATTTATTATGGTTAATTGTTATTATTAGAACTTAAAAAGGTATCACTAATAAATTACTAATTATTACTGTTACAAAACTATTCTATAATATTCTACATACTCTTGGGTGTTTAACCTAATATAATTTTTTTGCATATACTTGCGTATTAACTTGGCATAATTTTTTCAAATGTGTAATATCTTGTTAGAAAATTTAGGAAAAAAAGCCGTTTCAATAATAATATTTTATTTTAAATTATTTTATTTTAGCGAGTTGTAGTCGTGATTTGGGAAATCAGAATTTCACTTACAATGATTTATTTAATTTATTACGAGGAAACGGACCACTAAATCACCAGTCCAAACAGTCTAGAGAATTTTTGTTTAAAAAGTTATGTGAGAAGTATGATGGGAAAAATTGGATGCTGGAGTACACAAATAAAATAAATGCTGGCTTAAATAGTTATACAATAGTTTTATCACGAAAATGGATACAATGTAATAGAAATATTCACATTTTTAATAAAAATAACAGTGCATGGCTAAAAACAATATTTAACTTACCTGTAAATAATGTATGTACAAAATATAATGATAAAAATCAAACAGGTCGTCCGTCAAAAGAATTTTCGGAATGTTCTGAAAGAACTAAAAGACAAAAAGTACTACCTATTGTTAAATCATATTCTTCGCCGGAATTAGTGTTGGCATTATCAATCAAATTTCAAAAGTCGGGAAAGAGAAGTGCTGCTTTACTTCTAAATGATTCTTTGGCATCACCAACAAGAGCTACTAAAATTAAAAATGCAATTACCAACGTAGATCATAATAAAATTATTAAATATACTGCCAATGAAGCAAAAAATGTACAGAAGACACCACACAAGAAAAAATTCAAGAATAAACACTAACGAAGACCTCTTACATGTGTTATTGATATCATCTGACCCTTTAATATCGACCATACGATTACTTCCAAAAAAAATATTACAAGACTTATCAAATGAAGCCAAATCGTTATTGAATGTAATGCAGTTAGACGAAACAAATTTGAACAGTGATTGTGATAGTGATAGTGACATTATGTGATAGTGACGTTACTATAATATTGTTAACGTAGTTTTTTATAGTTATATTACTTACAATGTTAAATATTGATAAATGTTTTAATTTTAAAAATTAATAACATCCCCTATTACCCATAACTAGGGGTTGATTAAGAATGAATATTATATTTGGATACACCCTTAGAACATGTAAATTAATTGATGTTCAATATACAAGTTTTATGAAAATGTAGGAAAGTATCTATTTTTACCCCTAATTAGGGGCTGATTTAAGAACTGATAAGAAATTTGGATTCAGCATGTTAAAAACTATTAGAATTGATATTTAACATAATTTTTTTAACTCATATTAAGAAGGTATTAATTAATGTAAGCTAATTTACAATACAGACCACTGTGCGTCGATCCGATTAAATCGTGTGTGGACGATATTTTTAAAATCGATTCACACAATTACGCTACTGCAGCAACAGACAGAGACAGGGTAAGGACTAAGGAGCTTTCTCTGTTTGCGCTCTATATAAAATATTATATAATTTATTAATATGTGTGTTTCGGGGGGGCGAACGGCTCACGTGTGTGTCGAAACTCGGGAATACTTCCAAACGTATAACATATATTATTATTACGTAGGAGTGATGACTGTAGAAAGTGGGCAGCTTATAGAAAGAGTACTGTTCCGTTGTGATCGCAGGTAGGTGTATTATATATAGTGACTATGTAGTATACCTACTTAAACTCCCATACGTTTTTCTATTTATTCCAATATTTTTTTTTCTAGAATCCCGAAGCCCCACCCCTTATTAGCACCTATTTGGGTGTGAGGTAGGATTTAAATTTTAACGCCTATTTAATAAACCACTATACCTATATGTCACGCCTCCCACTGCCGCCTTTGATCGAATAAAGAACACGTCTGAAGTACGCAATAATCGAGGTTTAGACACGTATTCATGGTCGCATTCGTGCGGGTTCACACGGTCTATAACACGAT